CTATAATTCATCCTTAAAATTTTTTAAAAATTTGACAAAAAAATTGTTGCCCGGATACTTTTGGCAGGTTGGTGTATTTATTTGCAAATATGACTTTTATTAATCTTCAAAATTTTGTATTGAATATTCTAAAAGAAATCAAATATACATTTTTCTAAAATATCGAAGTTACTGAACTGGTGCCATGTTCAGAATGTGAAAAAAAATTTTAACAATTAGTTATGAATTATTTACAATTCTTATCTGTGAACATATCTTCTATAAAAAGTGTATCAAAAAAAAGTTTTTACTTATAAAAGAAAACAAATGTCCTTTTTCTTCAAAATTATTTGAGTAATAGTACCAAACTAAGATTTCTTCATGTTGTTACCTTTGCTTTTACTTTTATTTTTATATATTTTATTATTATATATTTTATATCATATATTTATTATTCTATTATTATCTATTATTTATTTCTTATTATTATATATAGTATTATAGTAGATCAATTTAATAGTTTGTAAATATTATTACTTAAATTAATAGATTTCTAATTCTTGTAAATCTGTAGTACTAGAATACAAATTAGAGTATAAGCCATAGTACAAGTTAATATCTCAGTTAAAGTACAAGTTAAATTAACAGTTAAGATATCAGTTAGGATATTTAAATATTAGTGAAGTTTTCAGTCAGATTACAAGTTAACTTAGTAATTAAATCTATAATATATATAAAGGCTAAGAATTTTCTCAATTCAGTTTTCAGTTTTCTAGTTAATTTTCTTAGTTCTGAATTAGTTTTCAGTTAATTAGTTAAATTTATTAAGTAATAAAGTTAATATTATAAAATTCTTTGAGTTCCTTATTTATTGTATTCTTCTGATAATTGATAAACTGTTTATTCCTATTAACAAGTCTTCATATCACTGTTAATAGTTAATACACCTTTTTCATAATTAATTGTACATAATTACTTCTATGTATAAACTCTTATATTGTAATTATTTTATTTTGAGATTGGTATTTTTATAGTTATACTTAGTTTTGTTATTAGTTTTAGTATTATTTTATCCCATTGTCTTTTTAAATTGTAGAAGGTTTACATGGATAACAATGTATAGATTATATTGCATAATGAAATAAATGGACTATGTTTTATGTTGTGATTTGAAATGTTCAATACTCTATAATTTCAGAGGAAACAGGTGGCACAATATGGTTGCTACTGAATAATTCTTTTATTAACCCTTACTCAATATACTGTCTTTTAGTGGATTCAATCTCATCAGGCTCCTCAGTTATGTAAATATTATGATTTGTAGGCTTGCTCTCTTAGCATTTTTCTTTTTGTCAATTGTCAAGATTTGTAACAGAAATTTCTTGATATTTTTCTTTTTGCCAATCATCAAGATTTGTAATGGAAATTTCTTGAAATTTTCTTTTCCAGTTTCCAGAAAACTCGAGGATACTACTGCATCTGAAATTATATGAATTTGCTCATCCCTCTTTAAGGGAACAGTTTTTGAACCACATTATAAATTGGATTGCTCTGATGAATTATTATCCAAAGATATGTCTAGATTTTGATTCTGAAGCTTTTCTCAATTTCTTTCTCTGATTGCATTACTAACCCTTTCTTTTTGTACTGAATCCAGAAATTCTTCAATCTTTCAATCTTCCAATTATTTAGGCTCTGTATATTGGATATTAGAATTAGATGTGTTATTGGATATATTTTCTATCTGTTCAGGAGTTACAGGTATAATATTAGTAGTTACAAAATCATTTGTTTCACAGTAAAATTTCCTTGTCAGAGTGGACTCCAATAGATAGAAAAGTTATTTGTGATTCAGAGAAGGAATCAGAGATTTGATAACTTATGCTTCGACTCTGTTTCATTGGAAGCAGCAACAATTTTATCCCATTTTATTCCTTTGATATCATTATCTAGTTTAGCAATAAGGTTATTTTTTCTTTATCACTCTGATCTAGTTTAGCAATAAGGTCAGTTTTTTCTTTATCGCTCTGCTCCAGTTTTATGAATCTGGCTTCAATCTCTTCTTTATCTTGTTTTAATTTTATATTTTCCTTTCTAAGTTCAGCAATATCAGCTATGAGTTTGGCATTCAATTCTCTCAATGAATCAATTGTGGATTGTGGATTTTCCATTGTTTTATACAAGATACAAATATATTCAAAAGTTTAATCATACGAAAAATATTGTGTAAAATCGCATTAATGCACTTTTGCTTTATTGATTGTAATAAAATCAAAAAGAATCAATTGCCTACACTATAAGTTTAATCGCATAACTAAATCCAAGATCAGGAAAAATGCGAAGAAAAATTTATTTATCATCCAATTATAATAAATTTAGGCTGATCCAAATCTATTTCTTTAATTCACAAAGATTTTTGTCTTGTTGTTCCTGTACCACCCATTTTATATTAGAAAAAAGATAACGTAATACATATACACAAGAGACTATAACTCTTTAAGCACAATGTTGAAGTTTATTGTTAGACCACATCTAAGGATAATAAATTGATTCCAATCCATTTTGTACCATATTTCATTGAAATTTAAATCCCAATGACATATGTATGGGGCTCTGGTAAGTCGTGCAATTTGACTAGTTGCATGAACCATGATATTTTCGGGATTAGGATTAGAGCTAAAATTGGTCCCAGAAGGAAGACCTATCGCCACAAATTCAATTCCAGTCATATTCGCATTCTGCCGAAGCCAGTTAATCTTGTTAAATGCATGACTACGATCGCTTTCATTGTTGTAGAATACCTGCAAATATTAAATAATTAAACAATACTGGTCACATTTTCAAACAGAAAATCAATAAATTACCTCGATCCAAAGGTTTGGAGGTGGACATGCATAAATGATCGGATTCTTTTTTTGTTGTTTAGTTAGGGGTCGAAACCACACACCGATATCAGATCTGTACTGTTTGTTTCTAACTACACATATAGTGTTGCTACTTGCCAACCAATCTTGATTTTGGTTTTCAAACGAATTTGTTAGTTTTCGATGGATGATCTCTTTTTCTGCACCATTAAACTGAAATGATACAAAAATTAGTGAGAGTATGAGAGATATTTACGCAATAGTGAAACTTACTTTGATGAATAAATTATCTCCGATTATTTCAGCGCTGAAGGCATGATGGATATCTTCACATAATTTAAGGTTGCCAAGTTCTCCAACTGGAAAACTGATCTTTACTATTCCTGAATCTTTTCCTTCCAGCTTTTGTTCGATTTTAGCGCGGATCTTTAAAAATAAAAGGCCATTAACTATAAATATTTCGTTTCATTATTTTCAAGAACCATAGTACCATTATATACCTCGTCAAATTTGGATTGCATAGAAATTGAACCATTCATAGATGAACCATTTTCGTTTTTGTAAATCCGAGAATATTGAGAATAATTATATGCTAGTTTCTGTATAACGTTACAAAAATACCTGAATGCCTTTAGATTCCATATCAGTAAGGGTTGCCACAAGGCTTTTCAGAATCCGGGTAATGAGATAACCGAGGTAAGCAATTAAGGCAATCAACAGATAAACGCAAGAAACAGGAAAGAACTGAAAGGGGATTAAGTTATTTATGTAATGAAATTAATTATATTTGAAAAGGATATGAAATTAATTATATTTATTATTGAATATTGCATACCACAATTCCAACAATAATTACATAACAATAGATGTAAGACATTAAAATCAATTTTTTGTGGTCTCAACATTTTTATTATGTAAAGTTACATCAGAATACATGTAAAAGTTACATCAGAAGTTACGTGTAGTTACATCATAAGTTTCGCGTAATTACATCAAAGTTACATCATCTCCAGTTAAAGTGAAATTATGATTCTATTAATTTCGCCGATCATGATTGTGCAATAATAAAAAACTTCGGATATAAAGCTAATTCGAGTTAACCATGTTCTACCCCTCATAATATTTTAGCAGAACCCACTCGCAATGTAGGTGCGACCTAGTCACTGTTAAATTTTTGTTATATAATAGTATGCAAAATCCGTTACCCACGCGATAAAAAAAAATCATTTTTGATAAGTCAGAGACTAGCCCCTTTAGGCCTGGTTAAATATGTGGACAAATGATCAGTTGCGCTTATTAATCAATAAACGAAATTCAGAATATTATATGGATTTCTGGCGAACAAGATGAATTTTAGTACTGGAAATTTATTAGTTATATAATATCACACAAAAAAAATAATGCATAGCACGTTCCTCTAATCGAAAATCTTTATTAATAAAATATACGGAAAAAATTGATACATGTGTCAGAGACACTGAGCTCCGCTCATTCTACACGAAAAAAAAATATAATTCGTGATACGTTGTATATGCTTCTAACCGGAAAAATTATTAGTTATATATCTGCATTACACGAAAAAATAACACATGATACATTGTACGTTCCTCTAACCGAAAATATTTATTAATATTAATACAGAGCTAGTGTTTTTGACACATAAAATACATAATAATTATACACGTTAAAAATACATGAAAAAATCTAATTAGGAGGGGATGTTACTTGTCGAACTATCTAAATTTCTTTTTGACCTGCGATCATGTGCACTGCGTAACAGAGACATATTAACTATTAATGTATTGCGGAATAATAATAAAGTATATATATATATAATCAGCTAAAATGGAAGGATCATTGGAATATTTAATAGGGATCTCTGTTTCATGTATTTTATAATATCAATGGATTTCAAGCTCATCTCTAATAAGGACATTCAAACTCATTCTACATCTAGCTACTTGGATCCCAATGATATCAAATTGTTCTTTTTTCAACCTACAACTTTTTTGCACCCAGTATAATTCATTATTGCATTCATGCCATAATTTTACATCATCACCTTCTTCTTTTTGTTTCGTACAGATAATCCTGGAACATTCTGCATATATTAATTTGTAATATTTATCATCTTCTTTACTTATAAACATGATATCAGGTTGTTTACTTACTCTTCCATTTCCTTTTCTATCAGCACTTGTTATACTCTGCCATTCAAACCTAAAAATATAAATTAACAATATATTTCTCTAGAAAATGATATATTATTTTTACTATAACTTACGTGGTTATAAATGCTGATTCTTCAAATGATTATTAGATAAACAGGCATTTATTAATGACACAATTATATTATTTACATATTTATTGTAGCAATGAATTCAGAACAAAAAGCTGAATTGTACCAAACAAATCCCAAGGTTTCCAAAATTTTTAACATGATTTTTTTCAAGTTTATCTTCACTATCTTTTCACTCATTTGTATATGATAACTCATATGATAAACTTGATAAATTTTCAGATAAAAAATTTGATACAAACTTATTACACATATCTTCAACTCTTGATGTAGAAGCAAGTTTCATTAATCTTACAGGTTTCTAATATATGGAGCATAGTGTTTCCAACATATGTAGGTAAATATTAGTTTTCTGATTTTGCTAAGGCACTATGTACCAATTAAGTGATAAATATATACCATAATTATCTTTTTTAAATTTTTCAACAATCTCTGAACAAGATTCAAATTATCTTTAATAATTTAGTTAGCTAGAGGATTTTTCCAAGTTAATTCTTGAACTGAAATTTTGTTTACTCCAGAATATAAATGTTGATAAAGAGGCATAAATTCCTTTCTAAGTTTATTTTTCAACTTATTTGTATTATTCTCAATTTGATCTGAACTCAAAGGTGCTTCTTTATCTGTCTTGATTGTTCCCATATCATACAATTATTAATTCCTTCAAAAGCATTATTAGACTAATAAAATAAATAGTACATTAGATTTCAGAAATATAAAAATTTTCATCATTAAAATAATGTAAAATTATCAGTGCATATGTAAAGTTTATATCTTTGTGTGGTCATCACGTGATTAAAATTCTATATGATATTATAAATCAACATAATAACTTATATCTTAAACATCTCCTCAATGAGACAATGGATTTTTCTTATAACAGGTTAGTAGAATACTATATCTTATATAACAGACTATAGTTCAAACATTCCTCTGCTATGAGTAAGTATTTATTGGTAAGTGAGCAAATGAAATGAGTGTATATACATCAGGAAATTTTTAAAGGCAAAATATTTCGAAAATTTTTACTTCGTTAAATTTTCAAAGTTATATGACACTTTCGTAAATTTCTGGAATTTTTTTTTGTTTTATTTATTTTCAAAAATTTTTGTATATATTTTCATAAAATCTCCATTTATTTTTGAAAATTTTTACATATATTTTTATAAATCTCCATTTATTTTTGTAAATATTCATGAAATTATTATAATAGTATATTCGAGATTTATATATGAAACATTTTAATATTTTATAGATTTTCTGAAACTAAATAGTTAATTATAAAAATAAAATGCATATTGTAATAATATTATTATTGAATGTTAATTATTTATTTTTATAATTATTTTATTAATGGATTGAATTTACTTGTCATAAATTAAGTACATTGTACTTAAATTATGACAGAAAATAACTAAAATTTTTAACGATTTATAAAGATAACAGGGGTTCAAAATTAATAGACTACTAACTTATGTTAAGGGATTTCTATAATAAATATTATAGATTTTTTAGAGTTGTACGTGAGGCAAAATCATGTGTTGATTACGAGGGTGTAGTGTCAGGTGTGACAAAATGACGATGATCAATACTGAATAAATCAACTAATTTAAAAAAGGTTAAAATCTAAGTAAGTGACATTATATAACTGATTTGTACACATGAGGCAATTACCTTATTTATAATAATCTTTTATTGCTCATTGTATATTGAAACTGGTTGGACATTATCCAATTTAAATATAAAAAACTCGAATTTTTTGTGGTCATATAACTCCTTCGACTCCTTCGAAGTCACAAATCAAGGGACCAACACATCAGCTACACAAGAAAAAATAAATAAGAGTGCTTATTAATATAAGACATGCATGGAAATATAAAAGTTCTTTTTTTCTTACAAGTTTACTGACCTTTTTTTTTCTTCTTTGAACTTGAAATAGGATGGATTTCTTCAAATATTAAAGAAGGTGCCAAGGTTTCTGTTTTGGGTTTAGTTGTGGGTGAAAATGTTACTTGGCCGCTATTACTAGTCGACCTGTCGGGCGAAATAAGGTTCCAACAGGAGGTTTACAACTAGTAAACTTAAGCGATTCAAGTTAGATAACTAATTATTAATCAAGAATAATTAAACTAATTTTAAGTGCAAAGGATAAATTATAATTTCAAGGACTAAGTTAAATGTATTTGTTGAATTTATTATTTGAAGATTCAATATAACCAGATAAAGTGTGCCGGAAAGTTTAAGACAAATAAGATTTTTATACTTTAATAGTTTATATTCAAAGAATATAAACTAACAAGGATTTTACGGTAAATATAATACAAAAATAGTTTATTAAAAAAATAAAATATAATATCCTATTAATTCAGGATATTTACAAGTATAAGAGATTTTAACTAATTTACACTATTAGTTATTTTGA